CAGAGGACTGGCCATTGATAACTACCTCCAGGGACCTACCTGTTAGGAAGGATTTTATGATTGAGAAAACCCGTCTGGTGATTCCATAACTGGAGATCCTGTGTAGTAAGCTTTTGTCACACCTTGTCAAAGGCCTTTGAGATATCTAGTGCTATGGTCCTCAAGGTGTGCTTGTTGTCAAGGGCCTCACTGATTCTGTGAGTGATGGTAGTTAGGATGTTGGCAGTGGATTGGGCTGACCAAAACACATACTAGTTGTCACTGAAGAGTTCGTTCTTTTCTAGGTGCTCCATGACTCTCTTATTTTTTATGGCCTCAAAAAGCTTGCTGATGATACTGAGGAGACTGGTGGGTCTGTACTGGGAGGGAGAAGATCGCACACCATCTGTTCTTAAAAAGTAGGCATATGCTTGATAATTTCCACAGACTTGGGAAGGATTTATCCTTCAAGCAACAGTTGAATAGCTTTGCTAAAATTGGGGATAATTCTGGAATTTTGTCTGGACCAGTGTTTTTTTTTTTTTTTTTTTTAGGGTCAAAGCCTTTGATAGATCTTGAGACTTCATGTGCTGTAATGGTAATATTACTGAGATTGTGCTCACTGAGATGTGGAACTTGGAGAAGGGATGGTCTTTGTCATCTAATGTTGAATTAGAGGCAAAGAGGTTTGCTTTATCGGTTGAGGAAGATATGACCTTGGGGTTATTTATAATTGTGGGCACATCCACTTTACCTCTGTTTATGATTTGGTTGGGGATCTTCCAGAATTTGTGGGATCCAATTTGTTTCTTTTCAACCTTGGTCTGGACAGCACTTGACATTTTCTAGAACTTTTTTTGAAGCAATTGCAGGCAGTTCTGAATGCAGTGAGGGCTGAACAACTTCTCTCCTTGCGATAGATATTGAAGTGATAGTTTTGGTGAGTTATAACTGCAGTGCATTCAGGGTTGAACCAGGGTTGACTGTCTGTTTTTTGATGGAAGTTTTTTTTTTTTTTTTTTAGGCATAACACTCTCCATTCCAGCATTCAGAGACAAGGGCAGCAGTTTTTTAGGGAGCAAGCTTGAAGAAGGTTAGGATAGGAGCTTCCATCTTGTAGGAGTGAAAGCTGTCCCAGTCTGCCTTCACATAGCGAAAAATCATCATGGGATGCCTTAGACTTGGCACCAATATGGATGCTGATTAGGGAATGGTCTGATATGCCTCATAGATGTAGAACTTTTGATAAGCATTTATCGGGGCAGGGGTTTGGAAAGATATCAAGGGAGGTTTTTTTTTATGTCCAGTCATGTCTAGAACCTGGGTAGGTTCTCTGATCTGGTTTTAGCTCTCTGCAATATCTGCCTTCAACATCGGTTTTATTGGAGGGGACTAGCTATTCTTTATGATGGATATTGAAGTCACTGTAGATATGAAAGCTGGTTGAGGTGAATTGAATGAGGATATTACCAATTTTCTCAGATATTTGGTTGAAGATTACAGTCCTTTCATCCTGAGGATGATAAAAAGCAAAGACAAATGGGGTACTATGGATAAGTCCCACACGGAACCTCTGGAAAGTTGGAACATAGACTTCTCATATTAGTGTGGAAGATGGTATATGAGCAGTCTACTTTGTTTTTTTTAGGTTGGGTTTGATAGTTTTGTTCATTTGTATTTTAATTGGATTCATGTGTGCAATGGTTGTTGGAAGACTAGTAGGCAGAGAGACAAACACCCACCCACCCCTGCAGGGTTTGAATGCATAAATAACCTGGAGAGAATCATTCAGAAATGCAGCCATAGAAGTACCCTTTGTTACAGCATTGAGAGGTTCCACCAAAGAGACTACTGCACAGTCGAGAAACCATTCACAAAATGGCAGTACCGTAGCCCCGACATTATATACCTACTGATAGGATAGCCTCCTTCGGAGTTACTTGAAGGTTCAGATCCCTGACTATCAGGTGTATAAAGCCAAAATTCAGAAAATGTCACCCTCCAGTACACTTAATGAAGGGACAATCAACCCAGGAAATAAAACTTATGCATGATGCACTGAGTAGATATGACATGTCTGACCAGAAGTCAAGGCAACAGAACTCATCCTTTGGTCAGATACATTGCAGGAGTCTGAGATCTAAAAGCACAAGCTTACTCATGTACTTCAGGACTAAGAGACCCAGATTTGACCAAATGTAAGGCTGAGGCAAAATATTACTGGTGCTTTTGTGGGTGGGGGGAAGAGAGAAGTTTCACAGGCTGAGAACAAGGAAATACCCTAGTAGTATTGGTATGGGGGTAAGAATTGTTACTACCATTTTACATTTTGTTTTCTTTCTTTTTTTCTGAATTTGCCTGTAAATATGCCCCTCCCACTTTGAGAGCATACGATATTTGCTCAACAGTCAGTATACCACACCAGAAAAAAATCCATTAAATATGTGATTGATAATTAGCAATTAATCTAATGAGCAGGTGAACAGTACAGATGTCCATAGACATATATATTAATCAATATATGTAATACCCCATACCGATATATATTTATTAATGTGTGTGTGTGTATATATATATATATATATATATATATATATATATATATTTTAAAGAAAAACAGACCACTTTAAGATTCCATTATAATAATTTATTTCACCAGAGCCCTTTTATATGATGCCGGATCATCAGATAGCACTTCCATATATATATATATATATATATATATATAGGACAACTTTGAATTCAAAACCTACGGAGGGTCGTTTGGGGACTCTGTGGCACATAGTGCACCAAGTCTTTGTATTCGGCCCTTCAAAAAATGTGGATGGTTCTGCACAAAACCTTCACCACTATAATCAAATCTCATGTGCTGGTGTTGGGCTGTCAGTTTCCTAGGAACTGATCTGCTTGACTCTCATACATCAAATTCAATGGGAGAGTTGAGTATATATGTGATAGTCTGCATACACAGATAAGCAAATAAATATTTAATTTAATATATCATGCAAACAAAATGGTACTCAATGTAGTTAAACAGAATTATAAAGTATATATTAATAAATACACATATACCTATGAATGGTGAATGAACCACTTCATACAGTTGTTTATAAAAAACAACTGTCTTAAGGGGTTCAATCATCATTTGTGCCTGACGACTTGGGAAACCATGGAACTGTAAGTTGCACTACAAACGTAGGTATATGTGTATTTGTTATTTTCTGTTTATATGTTATTTTTATAGATATAAATATTTTAGTAAATGCACTGTTTATAATAAACAGTATTAACAACATTTACCGGCTTGAATGTCTGAGAAATTTTCAGAGAAAATATGTGTCCTCCAACAGGAATCAAACCTGTATCCTACATGGAACTGTCATATAGCCTGATGTGCTATGCGAAATGTTTCTACAGAGGAATGTCTTGGTTAGTGAGGTCGATTTTACACTACAATTGTTTTTAAACTACAATTTTCTATGATTTCTCTTGAACATTCATATCTGCTCGAAGTGTTTCTTAATGTAAAGAAATGATGTCACACATTACGAAATTGACAAAGTCTGACAATTATTTTAAGATATTTTCTGTTTATATGTTATTTTTTGCTAAGATGCTCATCTGTAGCTAAATTGGTATAGCACATTATAAACAGAGCATTTACTTCAATACTTGTATATATAAAATTAACATATAAACAGAAAATATATTAAAATAATTGTCAGACTTTGTCAATTTCTTAGTGTGTGATGTCATATAATGAAATGGACAAAGCCCGACAATTATTTTAGACATTTTTTGTTTATACATTCTTTTTATAGACACAAATATTTAAGTAAATTCTCTGTTTATAAGAAATATAGATAATATATGAACATAAAACATAAAAAATGTCTTAAATAATTGTCAGACTTTGTCCTTTTCATAATGTATAACGTCATTTGTTTACATTTAGATACACATTGAGCAGATATGAATGAAAGAAAATCATTGAGAATTGTTTAAAAACAGTAAAATCGACCTTGCTATCCGAACGCTCCTCTGTAGCCCAATTGGTTAAGGCACATCAGGCTATATGATGATTCCATATAGGATACAGGTTCGATTCCTGTTGGAGGATGCATATTTTGTATGAAATTTTCTCGGACAGTCAGGCCGCTAAATGTTGTTAATACTGTTTATTATAAACAGAGCATTTACTTAAATATTTGTATCTATAAAAAGAACGTATAATCAAAAATGTCTTATACATACATATGTATGTGTGTGTGTATATATATATATATATATATATATATATATATATATAATATATACTTATCCCAAAGGAAGGCTTAAGACAGTAATTTCAAGAAAATAACCTTAACACAGAAATTTAAAGAAAAATACATAAAAATTGTAACATGAAACAGTTCAAACAATAAATAAAGTTAAATAGAAAGGCATTATCAAAAACATACGCCAGAAGAATATTATGAGTGAGTAACATGTGATTAGTAGTCAACTTCTTGCCTGTCCCTTACTTTACTATACACTTTATATCTCTTCTACTTAACATAGGCAAATAGATACAATCCTGTTTACCAATCCACTACAGAAAGTAAATGCTAGTCAAAAATTAATAAGAATTGTTGTCAGTGCTTCATCTAATAAAAAATAAAAGTAACAATAATACTGTCACTACTTAAACCTTTGTTAATGCACCTGATACTCCTTAAACAAACAGCCAATTGTCATGAACAACCAAAGTAAGTATTTATTTCAGTTTGTTAAATGTCCATGTAATGAGTGAATTGTTGAAATAATAGAAGTAAACTTTGTCAGTTTCATTCCAAGATGGTAATTCCAGTTCCAGTTTTCTGATACACAAAATTGACTTCATTTTTGTTTGTTTTCTATTTAAATATTTTTGTCTCATTTAATTAATATTGGTTTTCTCTTTGAAGAAAATGGCAGCGGCAGACAGTCTGAGACCAGCGATTTTGCAGGATTGTCTTTTGTCCAATGATTCAAACACGCCAATGACGCCTATCAGTTTGCTTGATTGCTCAACTGGAAAATTGGAACATTTAAACTTGAAATTTGTGGTCAGTTTGAAAAGTTCTTGAACCTTATATGAAATAAGTGTATATAAATTATAATAAAATATCACAGGTAATTGAATGACAAATTAGAAAAAACTCCAAAGTGATGTGTTTTGTTTCCAGAATGAACTTCAGATTAATAATAGTTTTATTTATGGGGGTGGTCATTCATTCATATATATATATATATATTACCATAAAACCCCATGCAATTTACACATTTTTTTGCAAAAATAGAAATAAACTTTAGGGTTGCATAAATTACATGAGCAGTAAATTTTTCTTGCTGAAAAAAAAAAAATGTATACAAAACTAGATATCGTTAATAATTTGCCGAGAAAACGGCATAGAAAAAAGGTCCCAAACTTAATAAAAACACAGTTTTATCTACAAAATGCTCATGTTATTATTAGAAGGAAAGACCAAATTATTTTTTAATTATTTTTCTGAATGTTTTAATCCTTTCTAGCATGTTCGAAATTTTGGTTAAAAATCTTTTCTTTTTTTTTTTTTTTTTTTTTTTTTACGTATTATTTACTCTTTAAAATAAGGTGCCTCTTTACAGTTGAAAAACACATTAATTTGGAAATTCTTTCAAAAATCAAATAATCATTGTATTTTAGTGAAACTTTCAGAACTTATTCACAAATAAATGAAATTATTTTAGAAATGTTTGTTTTTTTTTTAGAAAATCTTGGTAAGAATATTTTTCTTACATCTGTTACACCCCCCGCTCCACCACTTTACTCTTATGAAAACTTGAAAATTCAACTGTGTAATTTTGTGATTATATTAGTTAAAAGCAGAAGGCTTTGAAGAATATAAATTGTTGATTTTTATTTATTTTTTATTTTTTTTTTTTTGTAAATCGAAACCTGGTTTTACCCAAAATTCAGCTCTGAATTGTAAAATACAAAACCCAATAAAACTAAGACATTATTTAATTAAAAAGGCTTTTAATGACTTTTACGAATAATATTTATTAAAGACACTATAGTCTGAAGCCAAAATAGTTTCCAACAAAAACAGCGCAGGCTTTAGACATATCTTCATTAAAAAAAAGAACCTAAAAAAATCAATAAAATATTAGACTTTTGAAAGTATTTAATTTTTTAAAATTACTTTATAGTTAAATAAGCTGGTTCACTTAAAATTCAAAAATACTGTCACTTTTGTCCTTCTGTCTGATAAGTTGCCCTGACGTTAGTTGTTGATACACTGATATAAGCGTCAATTCACACCTCCAAAACAAATCACCACAGGCAGACATGCTTCTCTTATTTCCAACTAAATTTTTTTCTGCTAAAAAATTAAGTAATGTTTGTTTCCAGTTACATTAAGTAAACTTTAAATATTCTAATTTTCCTCAAATAACTTTTGAAAAAGGTATAATTGATTTTTACAAGATTTTTAAACAGAATTTAACTTTTATTTACAAAGTTGTCAAAAATGGTAGACGTGATTGATTTCATGGCAATTTTACTGACTCAAAAAAAAAAGATTTTTTCACTAAAAGTTTAGACATGCTAGGATGGGTTAAAAAATGTGAAAAAATAATCAAAAAATACTTTGGTTTGGTTTGTTTTATGGCATATCAACCCCAATGGGTTATTTAATGCCGACAAGATTTTTATTGCTGGTGATATTCTTTTTTTCAAAAATATATTGCTTGTCATAATTTTTTTCCAAAAATGTATTGTTGGTAATATTATTTTTCAAAAATATATTGCTTGTAATAATTTTGATTTAAAGAATGCAGCTTTAATTAAAAGAGAAAGTAATTTATTAATGAAAAAATATATTGAAAGTGTACTAATTTTGGAATCCTCTATGGTAAATTTGTGTCCAGGATCATAAAACATTTCCTTCCAAAACTATTGCTGTTACAGTGTGGGATATTTAAAAACAATAGCAATAAAGATAAAAACAAAAATGATAGAAAGCTGAATGCGATTGAGTAAGTTAAAAATTGTCAAATTAAATTTTAAAGCTGAGCATCCCTGTATCGTTAATGTTTTTTGATCTTATACTGTAACCAGTGTTGCATTTCTCCCACTACTTTCCACTTGTATAAGACTGACTCCATTGATAAAACCATAGTGAGCCTGAAGAAGTTTCTTTTGGGGACACAATGTGTCACTTAGAAGGTTTTTCCATTTTGTCAGTCAATTACCCACCAGTCTGATATATAGATCTGCATTACCTATCTTCCATACAACATTTTTTTTCATGACAAAAAAGAATGAAATTCACATATATTTAGTCATATACAATTCATTTTTTTCGAACTATCATCCTCATCTTTGTTGCCATATTTATCACAATGTTTGTATGCTCCAGGCTTCTTCAGGTGGTTGGAATGTCAAATTGAACTCTTTATTTCTCTCACTAGGGTAAACTGTTCTAGTTCCACGTGCCATGTCTAATGGATGTCAGTTATCAGTTATTTCCTGTTAATTCCCCTTTCCAAGTTCTCCACTGCCTTAACCAGGAGTTGAAATTGAGGTAGTTCATCAGTGGAGAACTTGGAGAGCAGAATTAACAGGAAATAACTGATAACTGACATCCACGAGACATGGCACATGGAACTAGAACAGTCTACCCCAGCGAGTAAAATAAAAGGTTCAGTTTGACATTCCAACCACCTGAAGACGGCTGGAGCATACAACGGCTGAAATGTTGTGATAAATATGGCGACAAAGATGAGGGCAATAGTACGAATAATGTAAATGTATTGTACAAAATAATGTATATGATACCTCATCTCAGAAATATATATATATATATATATATATATATATATAAATAAATATAGACATATATATATATATATATATAGTATTTACATTAGTCAGACAATTGTCCTCATCTTTGTCACCATATATGTCAAATATGGCGACAAAGATGAGGACAATAGTCTGACTAATGTAAATATTGTACATATACCTCATCACAGAAATATAGACAGATATATATATATAGATAGATATATATATATATATATATATATATATATATATATAGATATATATATATATATATATATTATAGATATATATATATATATATATTTATATATTTATATATATATATATATATATATATATATATATATTTATATATATATATATTTATCTATATATATATATATATATATATATATATATATATATATATATATATATTTATATATATATATATATATATATATATATATATATATATATTTATATATATATATATATATATATATATATATTTATATATATATATATATATATATTTATATATATATATATATATATATATATATATATATATATATATATATATATATATATATATGTCTATATTTCTCAGAGAGAGATATCTGCATAACCTATTTTTCATACAATATTCTCTTTTTTTTTTTTTTTCTGGAAAAATAATAATGAAATTCACATTTTGAAAAATTTTTGGAATGTTACTGTAGGGATGTGATTATTGTGTAGTGAAAGTAGCAGAATTCCTATTTAGCACATTTAAAGACAAGACATGTCTGCCCATACCATTTACTGACGATAGACTATAAGTTGTTACAATTAATGACAAGTATGTATATATTGGTATATTATTTCTTGTATGACAATGGTATATAAAATCTCTTTAATGATAATGCATGTTTTTCATTTCTTCCTTTCTCCTATCCTGTTCTGTCCATTCTATTAAGGTATTACTATATTACTGATAAACTAATGCCTATAATGGGGAAATGGAAACTGGCAATATTTTTTTTTGTCCCAGTAACTCTTTTATTAGCAGTTGAGAAAAGGTTTAATTATCCTAAACAGATTTTACTTGAATTTCTTTTTTAATTTCTTCTTTTTTAAAGGCCAGACTGGAAAGTCGATTGTCCAGTCTTCTTAGGGAGCTTGTCCAGTTACAACACTCTTTAGATAGCCACAAAACGCTGACCACTGCTACACCCATGTCTACCAAGACAATGTCCAAAGATTTTCTGGTGAACAGGATTGAGCAACATCAGAAGGAACAAATTGAAAAATGTTGTCAATTGTTGCAGGCTTCATCAGAGCACCTCATGGATCTGACAATGCTTCATCCATCAGCTCCATGGGTAAATATGCCCCTTTTTTCTTATTGCTTATTTGAAAGCTCCTAAATGAGGTCTGCTCCAATAATAGCTAGTTAATAGTATAATAACAGCTAAATAATAATCATATAATAATATCTAGATAACAGTATAATAATATTTATGCATGTCAAATGTCCCAGCCCATTCAGTGAAGTAAACAGTAAACTAATAAAGATATGAATAAAATAGATTCAGATTTGATAAAGTGTCTGATGTGTACATATTTAAATGTTTTATCTTCATTTGAGCTCTGAAGAGGGAGGAGCATCAACTGATTCACTTTTTCTTATTATTTTTTTTTTTTTTTTTTTTTTTTTTAAACATTTTATTTTATTTCATCCCAATCAAGGTGGGAAGGCCATTAGCATGCAAGGGTTACAGAGAGTGAGAGCAAGAGTAAAGAGGGGAGTCTGAGGAAAGGATAAAAGAAGGATGGGGATCAGGATCAAGGCATTAGATGTCGATTGACATTACATTTAAAAATTTGAGGATTATAGCTATCAGAGAAGCAAGTAAGAGGAAGGAGTTTCACTGTCGGGAAGTGCAAGAGAAGAAGCTGTTGGAGTAGAAGAGGCAGCTACATTTAACCGTTTCAACAGTAAAAGGGCGGAACTGAGATGCCAACCTAGTAGCACGCTTAAATTCAAGCAGTTGGGGTACCAGTGAAGGTAGCTTGTCAGAGGAGTTGCCAAGGAAATATTTGTAGAAAAGACAGAGGGAAGCCACAGCATGTATGTGAGAAACTGACTGTAGACAAGATGCTGGATTTTGTTGAGGACTTCGAGATGAACAGTGGAGGCACCAGACCATATGGCAAGAGTATTCAATGCAAGGATGAATGGTAGATTTGTAGATTTGAAAGATGGACTCAGGTGGGGAAAACATTTTTTGTAGATATAATGTGAATATATACTCTTCTAAAATCTTCTCCTTAAATCTCTTCTTTCTCTACTGTTCCCATTCCTTTCAAGACTTGATAGAATTTCTGATAATATTGACAAAGCCATCTCTCTACATCCATTTGCAAGCATATTCATGTTTGGTAATTTAACCCCCACCATACCATGTGGCTTAAACACTCTGTAACTGGCGTCACTGCCATTCAAGCCCTTAACTTTTCAATCTCTCAATCCCTCAATCCCTCACGCAAGTGGTTGACTTTCCTATGTGTTTTTCCAGTAACCCTGACGGTGATGCTTCCCCTCTTGATCTCTGTTTACCACCATCCCTGACTCTTGTTGCGCTATGCAGCTCTGCCCTCTTGGCAACTCTGATCATGCTGTAATGTCTGTTAACATCTAATTCCATTCCTCCTCCAGCCATGAACCTCCTACTAACAAAATATCTTTCTGTTATCAATGTGCAAATTGGAACTTGTTCCGTGATTTCCTTTACGACATCCCTTGGAATGTGGTTTTTAATCATCTCATTCAAAAATGTTCGTCTGAGGTCTCCTAGGTAAAAGCTGGCATCAAGGCTTTCATTCCAGCAAGAAAATACCAAGTTAAATCGCACTCATCTCCTTGGTTCTCATCTGCTAGCTTGGCGACCATAGCCCATAGGAATCGCTTCTTCCATCTGTACCGGAGCAACATGTCTGATTGCAACAGATGTCTCTTTGTCTCTGCTCGTAATGAGTGCAAGCATGTCCTCAATGAAGTAATGTTACTGTTTGCTGGTGGAATGAAACAACATATTGCATCTCGCAAGTTTTGGTTCTAAAGAGTGTGCTGAACAATTGCAAATCCTGAATCTCTCATCTATTCAATCAATTCGAAGTTCTAACATCCACATCTGATAAGGCTGAATGCTTTGCTTAGAAATTCTCATCTAACTCAACACTTGTCTCATTCAGAATATCACACCGGATTTTCCTTCTAGAACTGAGGCTCTACTGAGTGAGATGTGCCTAACCCCGTCAATGGTATTGGATATCATCTCTAAATTAGACTCTCATAAATCAAGTGGTGGTGATGGGGTACCAGCCGTAGTCCTAAAGAAATGTGCCACTAAGCTGGCTTCAGTTCTCTCCAAACTATACAACTATTACCTTGCTGATTCTTGCTTTCCAGCCTGTTGGAAGTCCTCCCCTGTTGTCCCTGCCTTTAATAAATCTGGGAACCCTTCTGACCCATCTAACTACCATCCTATTCGTCTTCTATCGCTCTTCAGCAAAGTTTTCAAGGCTTTACCTCCTATGATCTACTCTCAAACAAACAATGTTTCCACTTTGCTGATGTGCTTATGGCCATAACTGAATGTATATACTAACTTCTTGATAATAACAACAAAGCTTGAGCTATTGCTCTTGATATATTGAAGGCATTTGACAGGGTTTGGCATGCTTTCCTTCTACGTAAGCTTCAGGGATACGGTATTACAGGACAATTATTTTATGTAATCCAATCATTGCAGTCAAAGTATGAAATGAAGTTTGTCCTGAACGGGTTCTCTTCCAGTACCTTTCATACAAATGCTGGTGTTCCCCAAGGCTCTATCCTTGGCCCTACACTGTTTCTTATCTTCATCAATGATCTTCCTGATGTCATCAGTACTCAAGTAAGCATCTATGCAGAAAACACTACCATTTACTCCTGTCTCAATAGTAAATCAAGCATTGCTGAGAAAGTTAATCTGGTTGTTGGTTTTGAAAAGGACCAATCTGTGGTTGACTGGTGTAGGAAATGGCTTGTAAATTTTAATGTATCCAAAACATAACTGCTCTCATTTCCTCACCATAGAGAAACTTCCCTGCCTCCTATCAGCATGGTTGGTGCTGGACTTCATGACAGTGCCTCACTGCATCTTCTTGGTCTCATGTTTTCCACCAACCTGAGGTAGAACAACTATAGTGAATCAATAGCTGCATCTACAGCAAGGAAAGCTGGTTTTCTGTGTCATGCTAGGTTTTTACTCTTCTGAGTCCAACCTTCAAATGAACAAAATTACCATTCGTCTTTGCATTGAATACTATTGCCATATATGGTCCAGTGCCCCACCGCTGTTCATCTTGAGTTTCTTGACAAAATCCAAAGATGGATGTGCAATGTGATTGGTCCTGACTTGGCATCTCGACTCCAGTCACTTTCTCACAGACGTGAAGTGGATTCCCTCTGTCTTTTCTACAAATATTTTCATGGCATCTGCTCTGATGAACTATTTTCACTGGTGCCCCAACTGCATGAATTTAAGTGTCCTACTAGGTTGGCATCTCAATCCCACCCTTTTACTGTCAAAACAGTTAAATGTAACGGCCTCTTCTACTCCAACAGCTTCTTCTCTCGCACTTCCTGACAGTGGAGCTCCCTTCCTCTTACTTGCTTCCATGATAACTATAATTTTCTAAAATCTAAATGTAATGTCAATTGACATCTTCTGATGCCTTGACCTCTTTTCTTCTTTTTATCCTTTCTTTCTTTATCCCCTTAAATTTTTCTCTTACTTTCATTCTCTGTCATATGCCACTCATATGCACTCCCTTGCATATGAGTGGCATTCCCACCTTGCTTGGGATGAAATGCTTATAAAAAAAAAAATTACACAACCCATTCAATAAACCTCTACCTTGAGTGTCTCACGAGCCTTCTCAAATTTATTGTTATTGGTGGAAATTTAAACTCCTTACTTTCTCTGCTGTGGATTTTAGGGTCCATTAAGAAGGCCCTTGTTTCAAAATGGAACCACTGTTGAGCAAATCATGGCTGCACTTCCCAGGTCTTCTTCAATCAATAGCAAAGTCAAAGCGGTCATAGAAGCACTGATGAAGGCAGTGAACTACAAACAATTGATGTGCCAACAACAGGTCGGTTATTTCCCTTTGTTTTACCATTCTCTTTTCAGGAAGATGTGGTTGTTTTCATTAGTCCTAGGTATGATGATAAACTACATCTGGCAGTAAGGCCTCTGATCAGGAGATTGTAGATTTTGAGAAGTGTGGAACCACCTCTTAATTGCTATTGTTCCCAGGTCCACCCTGACCTAAGGAGTTAGCACCAGTTTGGGTCCCAGCTTTAGGCAAATAATGAAACCCCATATGAAAACAAAACACTATGAAAGTATAAAGATACATTTTTATAGTAAAACATATAGCAATACATGTTTATATAAGAAAGAACAGCAACAATACCTATTTATAGTAAAATTAGCAACAATACCTTTTTAAAGCAGTATGACCAGCAATACAGTTTATCTGTAATTGAAGGCATACAATTGAGTTCAAAATATCTGTAGTTGAAAACATAAAATTGTTTAAATTATTTATATTTCAGCATTAAATATCCCTTACAAGTTGATATGCCATTAAACAAAATCAACCAACCAATAGGAAAGAACTCTTTCATGGCATTGTCATATAATATCTGATAATTTCTTAAACTGTATTCCAAGATATAACTTCAACAAAAGTACTGCATAAAACACATAGCATCACCTCTAATAATTACGCCCACACAAACATGTAAATGCACAAAAGCTGAGTATCATCTACCATGTATTCAATTGTGAAAGCAGAATAAGATTTTTTTTTTATTTCCAAGCTCCCAAGAACATAAAATTTCAGCTTTAATTGACCCATAAGGAGTTGATATACTGTTAACCAGCAAATCAATCAGTTGTCTTCATACAGATACATCAATTTTCTGGCATCCTTGGTTCCAGAACTTTGCTAGATTATCCATTTTGTCAGACCAACAGAAGTCGCATAATAATAATAATAATTCAATAGGTAAAATAAATAATCATTCAAAACTGACCTACTGATTATGCATTTCTCGTATCTATAAAGCATCATCAACTTATGAATACTTATATATTTTTTTAATCATTTCACCCCAAGCAAGACAATAATGTCACTAAGATGCAGAGGGTTACAGGGAATGAAAGAGAATGAAAAGACTTTAGTGGGAAGGATTGAGAAAAAATAAAAGAAGGAACAGGGTTCGGGAAGACAGAAAATAGTAAATGATGTTGCATTTAAATTTTTGAAGATTGTAGTTACCAGGGAAGCAAGAAATTGGAAGGGAGTTCTGCAGATGAGAAAAGAAACTGTCGGAGTAGAAGTGGTAGTTACATTTAACTATTTCAACAGTAAAACAGTGGGGCCTAGATGCCAAATGTCCTGGGTAAGATGATAAACTACATTCGCGTCATGGGTAAGATGATAAACTACTTCCAGCAGCAACAGGAGGTTTTGAGAAGCATGGAACCATCTCTTAATTGCTGGTGTTTCCAGGTTTACCCTGACCTGGAGTGGTAGCACCTGTTAGGGTCTCAGCTATGGGAAAATAGTTAACCCCCAAACTGAAGTCAAAACACTATGAAAGTGTAAAAATAGGTTTTTAATACAAGCAATATATTTTTGTAAAAAATTATTACCAGCTTAAATTTTTGAAGAAAAAATTATTACCAGCAATACATTTTTTGAAAAAAATACTACCAGCAATGCATTTTTTAAGTAAAAAAGTTTCCAGCAATACATTTTTGAAGGAAAAAAAAATTTCCAGCAATACATTTTTGAAGGAAAAATTTTACTAGTAATACTAAGTTGAAAGCTGATGTCATCGGTAAGCTCATTAATGAAAATTAAAAGCAGTGTAGGACCAAGGATGGAGCCTGGGTGGGAGGGGACATCCACGTTAGTATGAAAGGATGTAGATGAATGGTCATTCAGGATAACTTTCATTTCACAATTTGATAGGAAAGACTGGATCAGATCAAAAAAGTGTCCAGAGACACTGTAACTCTGCAATGAGAGAAAATGAATTAATTCAGTATTGATTAGGGTCTTGGAGTTTCCCAAAAAGAGGTAGAAAGCTAATAGGCTGATAGTTGGAAGGGTTGGAGAGATCACTTGAGTTCTCAAAAACTGGATAACAGATGATGACTTCCAGCAGGTGGGAAAGCAGGAGGCAGTAAGGCAATCCTTATACAGTTTAGAGAGAACAGGAGCCATTTTGGGAGCATGTTTCTTAATGCCTATTCCAGGGATATCATCAGGTCCACATACTTTGTGGGAATCCAGGTTAGATACGATAAGAGAAACCATAGAATGGGTTATATGCATATCACTCAACAGAGATTCAGTTCTAAGTGGAAAGTTAGGCAGGGATACTCCAGATGAGTAAAGAGTAGAGTTTGAGGAGAATTTACAGGCAAAGCATTCAGCTTTATCAGCAGAGGATAATAACACCTCAAATTGATTAAAGATTGGTAGGAATAGACCTTGCACTCATTTAGTATCCTATTGTAGAACTGACAGTAATCACAAGAGCCAAAGTTGTTAGAGGCAATGTGATGCTTCATTCTCTTGGCAAACAGATCTCCTTCAAGGATTCACTTACATTTATTATGAGCAGCAATGAATTGGCACCTGTTGTGATGAGAGCTGTCACACTAGTATAGCTGGAAATAGAGGTTCCTTTGTGCTATAGTGGCCGAGCATGCTGGTGTGAACCATAGAGAGCATTGAGGTTTCACCTGGTATTTCCAAGAAGAGATTAGTGTCCATACTGGCTTTGACCCAAGAAGAAACCTCAGTGGCACAATTTTCAATTGGGAGGTTAAAGATGTCGGGGCAAGGGGCGTCACAAAGAAACTCATGCTGGTAATGGAAAACAGGTTTTATGAATTAGGGGTTACTGTTTAATAGATTATTGGAATGAATTATCAATAGTTACTAAGAGGGCAGTGTTGTGAGGCTTGACAAGAGTGAGGTTAGGAGGTAAGAAATAAATCAAATCGAGAAACCTGTTGCTCAGTTTTGCTAGAGAAATGAGCAGGGAAGTCTATGATTTGAGTAAAGGATTTCGCAATGGAAAAATTTAATGTCTAAATACTGGCAACATCAGCAGCTTTAGAATGTTTAAACATGTTGTGGTGAGTATTAAATTCACTGAAGACAAAGATATTCACAGATGAATGAAGAGAAAGTGCTTTTTCTATACTGTCAGCTGTTATGTCTAAAATACCAAAGTCATGAGTATAGGGTGAGTGATAAAGGAAAAAGAGATAGCTAACAGAGTTTAGTAATGAAAGATGGAATAACATGAAACAGTAGTCTGGGGCCTCAGGAGACTATTCCATGGCCATCAGAAGATTATTCCAGATGTAAAAGGCTATGCATGTGAATGCTGGGGTCTTTTCAACAAAGGGGAAGATAGCTTTGAACCAAGAATTAATTGGTAGCAATGGAAGAATTTAAATTCATTTCACAAAGGGCAAAGATATCTGGCAACTGTTTCAAGAGAAAAGAATTTATGCTACAGAAGTTGGAATGGATATCATGAATATTTGAGAAAGAAAGGTTGAGTCGGGGTGGGGGTAGGTGTTTTTTTGTTTACTGGTTAAATTGTAATTTTTGTTGTGTTTACCATCAGAATCATTTTGAGGAGAGAGAGAGAGAGAGAAAAAAATCACGATAATTGTCACTGTCGTCAATGGCAATGCAAAACTAGCCAGAGCATGGATGAGAACAGAACATAATGTGGCCTCTGGGTTGCCCACTGGAAATGACATGCAGGGACACCTACTTATGTGTGACATGGCACTAGAAATACCCTGATATTATGTGACTGTTAATCGGGACAGCCTCTCTAAGCACTACCAAAGAGTTCAGGCTCCTAATGATCAGTCGGAAGTAGCAGCCAGCAAACTGCCAACCTGGTACCCTCACAATTGAAAGTCACAGCCACTGATTAGTCTTTTCATCAAAAAGTCAAGACAGTTAAATCATTGTTGACTTGGTAGAAAAAAGAAAGAGAGAACCAGTAAATCATATTCCAAACAGGGAACAAGAGATGAACCTCTACTCCTGTTCAACAGATGTGGATGAAGTGCAAACTGAACGATAGGAGAGCCTATCTACTCCTATTAACTTTTAAAAAAAAACAAACCCAAAAACACCAGCATATAAAATATGAAAGAATTAAATTATGATTTAGTTCTGATGTCCATTAAGTAAACTGGGGAGGGACTGAAGTGTGATGTTTTAATAATTAATAGTAATGGTGAAAAGAAAATGGAGGACAAAGAAGGAAGAAGTGAAAACATTAGAAACAAAACCAAAAGTTAAAAAAAAAAAAAAATAAATTAAATTAAAAAATTTACAAACAGCAAGATGGCATGAGAGATTGCAAGTTACTTACAAGACATGTTGGGCGCTTCGATGTGGTGTAATGGTTAGCAAGCTTGTCTCGCTAAAACAATTACGACTGAGTAGTGAGTTCGATCCTCATTGGGTGCCCCATACTTTTGGCCTTGTGCCACGTCTAAGCTACACTTGGAAAATCATAGGGCACCTCGAGGTGGTGTAATGGTTAGCAAGCTTGTCTTGCTAGATCGGTTACTACTGAAAAGTGAGTTCGATCCTCACTGGATGCCCCATACCTTTGGCCTTGTGCCGCTTGGAAAATCTCTACTTACAAGACATGTTTCAGATGCTTTTTTCCAGTATTTAAATTGGACATTTTTTACAGACAGATCAAGCTGATTTAATTTCAGTGGTACTTTGGTAAAATTACAGTGACTCTAAAATGAATTTCTTGTGGTGTGTAACTCAACAATTCAACTGATGATAGCAGGTAGGCACAAAGAAAACCGGTGTCACACGTCCAACCTTCTCACGAGCAAAAAAAAAGCCTTCTGATTTTAAAAAAAAGAAACAAGCCTGTTTTTATACAGCTCTTGGATCGACCACAATTTGCATGCGAATCACGAGGCAATGAGATTTTCGCGTTAACTGACCGAGACCGCCGGCATAAAACGTGGGCGCCGCCATTTTGGTTTTCTTTTTACCGATGGAAGGAC